TGTAGGCTGGTCCATTTCAGCAAGGATACCGATTCTGAGGATTCCTGAAGCCGAAAAGCATTCGTTTTTCTCCGAAACCTGGATGCTTGTGCACAGTCACCTGACTACGTCAATTCCGGTTAGGATTTGTGATTAGACTCTGTGCTCATTCGTCTATCAGTCGGTCCCAGTTGTTTGTGTCGTACCTGGGTTCTTGTACAGTTTGATGTACTTGAACAAAGAGTTTATATTAAATTGCAACCTGATCTTTTTGTGGGTGATCAGGGGGGAGGAATGCGCCCCGATGTTGCATATTTCATTTAACTGGAAACTAAAATAAGTCATGTTGTCTGTAGAGTCAAAAGGGATCGAGAATACGATGCTATGTATTGACATGCGATCTGCGAACTGCGATTAGTCACTAGTCGACAGACTGGTGTCAGCCAGTTTTCTGCTTGTTCCCGTCCTTCTATATATGTGGTCTTCTCCACCGACTGTTTCCGTTCCTTGTTCGCACTGCGTTAGACTCGGTTCGTCGTCAAACTGGTGCGAGGCGGTGAGGGTGGGACGGGAGAAGATTGTCCTTCCGTCCTGATTGCGGTTTCGGTCCGTTCTCAAGTCACGGCGTGACCGTTTTTATTGCGTCACTTGATCCCTGAGTTGCACTGACGTGTACACGTGATTCAGTTCTGTGTCTGTTTATTGATTTGATTGAAGAGTGCCAAGAACACACAACATTGTCACTAATACATTCGATAGCATCATTTTCACAATGGAGACTGTGAAGGATAAACAACTGGCATTTTTGAACATCCTGGTCATCTAAACGCCATTAGGAAAACTGGAGACGGCGATCTACTGCAAAGCAACACACATGGACCAAATTGTAAACTTCTAAAGTAATCATCCACGCAGCCATAAAAGATGCTGTGTTAGAACCTTGTTCGGAAGAATCCAAACACACTGCAGCACCGACATACTCAAGAATAAAGAAGAAATATATCTCCTCAGAGTATTTGCTCGCAAAGGTTACACCTGCAACTTTATCAAAAGAACTTTGACTCAAAGAAAGAAAGAAAGAAACAGCAGATGGAAAATGGGGAACAAGAACGTCCCTGCCGTAAATTAAGGACGTTTCCGAACTGCCAACAAGACTGTTTAGATGATATGAAATTCAAGTCGCCCACAAACCGACCGCCTGTGTAAGGAGATATCTGTCAAAACCCAAGGAGAGAACAATGAAGAAAGAACAGTGTTATCTATAAAATAAACTTCAAGAACTATCCAAAACACTATAGCGGACAAACTGGAAGAAAACTGTCCACAAGGATCCGTGAACACCATAAGGCAGTCAAGACACGTGACACTCTCGTTGATTTCCCTCCACGAAGATCAAGAAGGACATCAGTTTGACTTTGAATCAGTGCGAATTATCGACCAAGCCCGGTTAAAACACACCAGAGAATTCCTCGAGGCTAGGCACTCTTCAATCAGATCAATAAACAGGCCTATCCAACTGTATCACGTATGCACGCCAATGCAACTGAAGGATCGTTTTTATTCTTTTTTCTATTTCTTTTACTTCCGTTTATTGAATACAAAATGGTCCAATTTTCAGGAAGGGGTAAGTGGCCAATCAAACGGGGCTGCCATTCAACACACACACACACAATGGGGAAAGTCAGGCGATGGTGGTGGTGGTGGTGGGACTCGAACACATATCCCCCCGGGGGTGATAATTTGGCGGCGTTACCACCGGGCCACCAGTACCCAAATGACCTGAGAACGGACCGAAGCCACAATCAGGGTGGAAGGACAACCCCTTCCCTTTCGCTCTCACTCCATGGGAGTAGATTCACGGCCAACCGAGTCGAACGAACACAGTGAGAACAAGGGACAAAAACGGTCGGCGGAGAAGATCACCTATATAAACGAACGGGTCAAGCACAACACTGCCATTTCACAAGCTCATTGATGATGTCACCTCGGCTGGTGTGATGAAACGTTTGCAAACAAATTGTCAAGCTCGGCGAACAAGCTAGATGGTATAAGTCCAGATCCTCCGTAATACGATGTGTGAAGCAGAAACAACTACAAACCCGTCATAAAAGGATTGCACGCCAGAAAAATGTTTTGAAGAAGTTGAGTGCAGGTTGCTATGTATAGCCTCAAACTTGATGAGTCATGCATCAAAGGTAAAAACAAACAGTGCTTGCGTTGTATGTTTCAGTAAAAACGTTTCAATGGACTTTTGAATCCGCTTGCCCGTTCGCCCACCCCCCACCCCTCTAGATAAGACTCGGGATCTAAAAACGGTATAGGTAGAAAAATATTGTGTACAGAAACTTGGAATGGCAAACGGAAACGTGATTAGGACCGATGAGACGCGTGGAACTCTCATTACCGCAATCCGGGGAAATCAATGTCCAAATGCGAATCAGTAAGCACAGCGACAATGGAAACTCCGTGATGTTGTGGAGATACCACAGAGTCATCTACATTCTCAGAAATGGTGATTAATAAGCATGTGGAAGCATAGATAATCCAATAACTTTTTGAGGGTTACAACACGTTTTCTCGCGGAGTTTAAGTCTAGATACCAATTCAAGATATTTAGGGACGCCGTACAGTTTCTGCAACACAGAATAGTAAAAGTAAAATACCATGCATATGCATTCATAAACAGATATGTAGGTAACTTCCTCTACAGGAGAAAATGGACAATAAAAAGATTTGATTGATTCGATCAAAAACTATGATACTCCAAACGGAGCCACATGCGTAACCTGGCTACTTGGTTCAGTAACCAGGAAAGGAACAAAATCTATTCACCACAGATTTTGATTTGAGTAGTATCAGCGAGATTTGAATCGCTTGACGACTAAGATATGCAAAAGTAAAACTGAATAGGTCTGCTTAAATAGATATAAGTGGAATGTTTTCCAAAAGATTAAAGAAGTACGGGAACGAATAAAGGGTTTAATTTCTTAACACGAAAAATAAATGAAAAATAGAAAGAATGCTAATGTGTTTTCTCTGGAGCGATTCACAGTTCGCTCGGTGATTGCAACTCGTAAGCACGTTTCCTCTACACGTGTGTGTGTCACTTTGCAATCATAGAATGAACCAATAGCTCCCAGTTCGTGTTTTATCTAATGGTTGTACGGCCGTTCGGTAAGAATGCAGTACAACTAAATTGGTATCTGTCATTCTAGTGAATGATGAATGGATCAATCGAGGATAATCGGAGGTTAGAGTCAAAACAATTTAGACTGAAATATCGAGTAAACGATGAGGAAAACAAAAAAAATTGGTCTATTTGTTTGCTGCTGGTCGATTTATTTCGTCCGGGAACGAATTTCGCGTCTCTAGTGTTTAATAAAACCATAGATTACCGATGGAAACACAGACGTCTGTGTTCAGATACCGTGAGAATTGAGTTCAGTCAAAGCCAACCGAAGTAGCTACTCCACTACTACTCATATGCTCTANTATATATATATATATATATATATATATATATATATATATATATATATATCACAAAACAATCATACGAAAACAGCGATGCTTTTGCTCTGAGAATGAAGTTTTCTTTGAGTCACATAACGAAAGTCGTCATCAATTAATGGCGCATCTGACGGTCTCTTAGATCTCGCCGGATTGGTTCGCGTGGGAGGGTCAAAACACATAACAATAAGTCCAATCGCCCTTAGCTAGCCATGCAGGACATGCTCGCGACCTTGACAAGCGGACTTTGATTGGCTAACAGGACGAGAGTAGGCTGTATGTTGTTCCAATGTGGATTGGTCCGAAAATCCAGTCAATGTGTGCCCACGCTGCCCTCTGATTGGTGTATTTACAGCCCGGCAAGAGGCGTACAAGCTGTGCATCTGTGATACAAAAACGTAGAGCAGCACGAGGCTGCCATTTCTGTGATTAGTTGGCTGATTATCCAGTCGGAAAGCATATATTGTTTCAATTTTGTGCATTGTGCTTCTTGTCAACTTTTAAATTTGTGGTGATACAATTGTGAATTCATTGTTGTCAACATGGGTGCGAAATTATCGCGGATGTTTAACCGT